ATCGAAATCAGCTTGAAAAATTGGTTAAAAACCGTCCGAATCGAGCCAAAAGAAATCAAATTAGAGAGCTGAGATACATCGAGCAAAATTTCTCATATCTAGCAAATTCTATTGATCGTTGACTTAGTCAACCCTGACCATTGACTTTAGCAGTTGATTTGCCCCACAATTAAAAATAGACCCACTCGACTCGACCCAATCTAGACTCAAAGAAAAGCATATTAGATTGGATCCATAAGATCCCACATCGATTGGAGAAGAAAACGAATCATTCTTTATAAAGGTGTAGAAACTTCTCTCTAGTAGATGCGTTTTAAAAACCTTGTGTTGATCATACCCGAACATGAACCGAAAGAATACAATATCAACTAGCAGTGAGCTTAGGTTATTACAAGATCATACCCGAACATGAACGAGAACCTACTTTTTCTTGGAAGATCGGGTGCATAGGGGTTGGGTCGAAAATTTTTGTACCCATTCAAATTTCGAATTTAATCGAGGTGGTGAGTAGAATGACCCGAAAAAAAGTTCGCAACCCAACCCAACTCAACCCTCTATTTTCAAGTTGGGTCGTTTATTTTTTTAATTATTTAAAAAATCATATTTATCTACCGTAAATATTACACTAATAACAAAAATATCATAAAACTTAAACAACATTTAAAAGTTACAATCTACCTCCTTTAGGACTCAGCGTCCTTACTGGCACACTGTCTCGTGTCTACCCCCTTCGAAGAACAGCCTCCTCGTTGACACCTAGTCCAATGTCTAGCTCTAATACCATTTGTAACAGCCCAGATCCACAGCAGATATTGTCCTCTTTGGGTTTTCCTTTTCGAGCTTCCCTCAAGGCTTTAAAACGCGTCTGCTAGGGGAAGGTTTCCACACCTTTATAAATGGTGTTTCGTTCTCCTCCCCAACCAATGTGAGACTCTCACATGTAAATACATAGTTTATCGGGTTGAATATTTTTTATATTTTATATTTTTATTTTTTAATTCCGATTCTTTGGAATATTCTTATTCCTTATATCTCCATATTTATTGTTAAAATTGGTAGAAAGTAAGATTTAAAATAAAAAAATCAATCTATTATTAAATTAATGTTTTATTAATATATTTAAGCATCTAAAACCCAACCTTTCTAAAAGTGTATATATTCGACCGTACGGAAATATTACTTTTTATTAATTAAAGGTTGACAGAATTTTTTAAAGGAAAGAACTTACTATAAATAAATAAATAAATAAATACACATTATTTAAATAAGAGACCATTTATTGGGAAAAGCAAACCTTTTGTTTTTAAAATAATGAAAAAAAAAGTTATTTTATTTATTTATTTATTTCTTAGAGTTCGAGTTTGGTGGGTTTGGTAACGTTCAAGTAACATGATGAGTACGAACACATACGTTATGAAAAGGAAAATGATTGTCATGTGTAACAGCACAAGAGACGTTAGCCTGACCAGTACGAGGTCTAAGGGTGTGCGAATTGCTTGGTGGGTTCATATTCGCACGTGAACTGTGTGTATAATAGTAAATACACATCCGATGACTCGGACTGAAAAAATGCCAAAGAAAATACAGTTTTGAATCATAGGTCTGATTCATGTTGCATGTGTTTGCATTTCCTAACTGGGATCACTTACTGAATATTTCTTAAAATACTCAAGCCAGGTGCTACTTTTATATTTCAGATTGACGGTGATATCGCATCACAGACCATGGAATCTACATAGAGTAGTTGCATTTATTTTTCTGTTGACTTTCGATTAGTATACCGTAAAAGTTGGGCTTGGGTTAGATTCTTTTTTTTTTTTTCTGGGTTGGGTTGAATTTTTTGTTATAATATTTTCCATGCAACACCGAACACAAATATTATATTCCGAGACATTCTATTTCTAGGCATTTTTTCGGACATCCTAAGCAAAACGTTCAATCAAACAGCTCTTAAAAGTAAGAGAAACCCTCCATTTTGTTTGCCTCGAAAAAGTTCCCACACAAAAATTAAAAACCCTCCCCGAACACGAGACTTTCTTTTTTCGGGTTATCGTATTTGAAAGGCGTGGGATCAAGCTTGGACGGAAATGATGGAATGTAGCTCTCGAATTTAAAGTGAACCTAAGAACTCAATATCCATAAATGAAAAACATATAACTCTCAATTGAAAACTCGATATGTCTTGCTTCTTGCTCCAAACGATTGCCCAGTGTTCATAATTTATAGAGGGAAGACCCATCGGTTGACATTTTTTTTTATCAGGTCAACTCGACCACCGAAAAATAGGGCTACAACTCAACCGAACCCTACTTTATTTTTAAAATTATTATAAAAATTAAAAATATTTGACGTTTGTAACCAATGTTAGCGAGCCATTATGAATCACAAATATTTAATATTTGAGTTTTTAGTACGGTGGATAAGTAAGATTTTTTTAAAAAAATAATAATTAAAAAAAAAACTGAGTTGTGAATTTTATTCGAATTTAAGAAAGGTGGGCCCACATCCAAGTCAGCGCCACGTGGAATCGTAATTCTTGATAAGTTCTTCCACAGCACAGCCGTACGGAATTGCCAGCTCGGACAGCAATGCCATTGGATATTTTTTTCTCTTCGCATTTATTATTATCGTCACATTTAATGACTATCTACTTTTAAACTATTGGTGAAAAACATTAATTTTTTTTATCTTGTTTAATAAATTTATAAAACACATTTATTTGATTACCGAGCATTATTTTTACGGACACCATAAATAAAACCGTGAACCAAACCGCTCATAAGGGTAAACACAGTTATTTGATTCCCGAGCATTATTTTTACAGATACCATAAACAAAACCTTGAACCAAACTACTTGAAAGAGTATATTTGATTCTCGAGCATTATTTTTACGAACACCATAAACAAAACCTTGAACTAAACCGCTCGTAAGGGCAAACACAATTATTTGATTCTCAAGCATTATTTTTACAAACACCATAAACACAATTATTTGATTCCCGAGCATTATTTTTACAAACACCATAAACAAAACCTTGAACCAAACCGCTCGTAAGGGTAAACACAATTATTTAATTCCCGAGCATTATTTTTACGAACACCATAAACAAAACTGTGAATGTTTGCTTAATCCACCACACCTAAATGGTGTGAAAGTTATCTTATTTATAATCAAATAAATTACAAGGATATGGAAATAGTAATAAATGGAAATAACAATAAATGGAAAGATACTATAGTAATAAGGCAAATGTTAGATATTTGCCTTATAATAAAATATCAAATATAATATATATGGTAAACTATAATTTATTACTAAATATCCTTAACACCCCACCGCAAGCTAAGCGTCGGATTTAAACGAACGTGAAGCTTGAATCTGAAAAATTCAAAGAGGTTGAGAAACACTTTTCGCGAAGATGTTAACAACCTGGTTCAGAGGAGGCGTAGAGAAACACTTTCTTGGCCATCGAAAACTGCAGAGAGATCGCCGCTCAGCGGCAATGCTGCCTTGGCTTCGGTGAGAATATGTCTAACCCATGAAGAGGGATTGTCGCTTAGCGACGATGCTGACTTGGCTCTGGTGAGAATATGTCTAACCCCAAGAAGTAGAAGGGGAAACCTAGAGCAAGGGACAAAGACAATGTTGAAGCCGGAAGAGTCGCCACATTGGGCGAATGAGCCAATTTTGGCGAGAAGGGCAGCTGGAAGAGTCGCCACATTGGGGCGAAGGAGCCAATTTTGGCGAGAAGGGCGGCGGCAACTTGGTTGGCGAAGATGCCAGTGCGGCGCCCAGATTCCAAAGGTAAATCTCTGCAGAAGGTCGATGGGCTTATTGAGATTCTGTATATTTTCGAAGAGGGATGCTGATGAAGATCCTAAGATTAGGGTTTTTGCGAAGGATGAATGATGAAGGGAAAAATTGGGAAGAAAATGAAAGAGGCTATGTTTGGAAAAGGTGAGGTTGTATGTACAGAGTATGGCGAAGGATGATTTGGAGGTCAAAAAGGTGGAGCCGAAGAATAATCAATCGACTCTGCATGTGACAGCCATGACGACTGCCCCTGCGGCATCAAAGACAACAGTGGTGGTGGAGAAGAACAGTAGAAGATTTCAAAAGCCATTGAAAAGAAAGGATCTAGGTTGCTAAACCAAAATGGCTCTGATACCATGTGAATGTTTGCTTAATCCACCACACCTAAATGGTGTGAAAGTTATCTTATTTATAATCAAATAAATTACAAGGATATGGAAATAGTAATAAATGGAAATAACAATAAATGGAAAGATACTATAGTAATAAGGCAAATGTTAGATATTTGCCTTATAATAAAATATCAAATATAATATATATGGTAAACTATAATTTATTACTAAATATCCTTAACAAAAACCTTGAACCAAACCGCTCATAAGGGTAAACACACTTATTTAATTCCCGAGCATTATTTTTACGAACACCATAAACAAAACCATAAACCAAACCGCTCGTAAGGGTAAATACAATTATTTGATTCTCGAGCATTATTTTTACGGCCACCATAAACAAAACCTTAAACCAAACGACTCGTACATCTTAATTAATTATTTATAAAAATAAATATATAACAAAAAAAAATATTTAAAATATCTATAAAGATATTTTAAAAATAAAATAAAAAAATTAAAATTTAGATGATAATTAATAATTATATGTCAAAATCTAATTATTTTAGTGGCTTGAATTTCTTTTATTGGTGGAATAATTTTTGAATAAATATGGAAATATTAAGAGAAAAATAAAGGAGAAAGTGGGCCCACCGTTCTAAAATGGAATCGGGATACAAGGGCTCCCCCCCCCCCCCCC